TCATATTCTTATGCTCTCCAAGTACACTGACTTCTAGAAGTTAAGCATGCAATGCAAATTAGCAGCTTTCAAAAGCATAGTTAAATTTGACTGTCTGAAAAGTGCTGTGGATGCAAATGGCAGTATATAAATTTTATATGTTACAGCCAATGACAATTGCCTTTCCGATCACAAGTCCGAGTGGCTAAAGACATCAGGATTCTGGAGTGTTTGAAAAGGTTTACTTAAATGCTGATATGAAGTGTTTTTAACTTTTGTAGGATAATTTTTTATGATGTTCATGTTTCTACAACAAAAGTGATAACAACAGATAGTGACTTAACTAACAGATACAACTAACTACAACAGATGGTGAGGAATAGCTGGCATGCTTTTGGATGCATTGAAGCAGGACAGTCAAACAAAGATGTTGCTGTTTTTTTTTGATGCTGATCATTCGGTAATTCTGCAGACCTATGCCCAGTCAACCAAGTTAGCCCTTTTTGCAGATTGCTATAATAGCCAAGTGGAATCAATGAGCAGCCTCCATAACTGTTACATCCATGGTTGCAACATCACTTAGTTAGACAGTATGTGCCAATGCTCTGCAAAGAAGGCTTCATGTGAAGGGACTGTACACCAAATACCTAGTATTTGTACTACTTCAGAAGTCAAACAACAAAAATGAGCGTTATATTTTCAAATTGTCACAGGACTAGTTTCGATGGTTTTACCAAACCACCATCCTCAGCTGCAAAAGCACAAAAAAACGATAGGATATAATTATTAGATGAAAGCCTGGATAGAAGATAAGCTAGTGACGCCATCTGTTGATGAAACCAGAACTAAAACATAATTTCTTTAAAGGCCGAAGGCAAAGATGGATTGGAATTAGGATCGTTAACTAGAACAGAAAGTTTTTTTGTTGTTTGACTTTTGAATTAGTATTTGCTTGGCGTGTTATTGTGTCTTAACCTAGTATTTGTATTTCACTCGCAGAGTTGTAGAGGGCTGTTTAAAGTATTAGGTTTACAATATTGCACAGCTCATCAGATATGTTTTGCCTATGGCTTGATTGTGTGCAGTAAATGGCCAAATATTTAAGGCCAGAGATAGGTGTTACTCAATCTGTTAATTCATTTTATACTTCAGTGTATTGTTAACTGGATTTATTTTCGAAAATTTTAATTCCAGGAATATGCACTGTGACCTTAAAAGTACTTTATATGGCTTTTACTTTCACATTCGTTGGATACAGACATATGTCTCTGATAGCAAAAATATTTTGTTGGATTCTGATATTTGTATTTTGATGTTTTCAAATTAAAAAAAAAGAAAATTGGTTTTATGAAACATAGAGATTTAAATTTTCATGTAGCCCCCATATTTATATTTATAAAAATTGTGAATAAAAATGTATTTCAGGGTGCCTCTTCGCGAAAATTGGTGATTTTTGGTGATTGGGCAGTAAGGCACAGTTTCAAGATGACCTCTACACAAAACCAAAATGACAAGTCAAAGAATTGCACAAACTTAGTGTCCATGTCCACATTGATCTATTTTCACTTAAAAAAAAAAAAAAAAAATCGGATAATTGCACAAACTCAGCATTGTGACTTTCTTTGCCCATGTACACACTCATCTACTTTCACTTACAAAAATCAGAATGATGACATCATATAATGTTAAAACAAAGTTACTCATCATCAGAATTGAACAAAATTTGTAGCTAATCGAAGCTCAATAAACTGCATTTTAAATCACACGAAATAATGTAGGAAGGAAATACATGTTATCACATATATGCTCTAAAAAAAGGAAATATTTTTTGACTTATTTAGAAATTTCTGTGTCTTCAGTCTGTGCCACACAAAATTTCTTAACAGCATACAAAAACGTTCTAAAATTATCTGAACTAGAATATGCATACTGCCGTCACCACATAAATTCACAAAAATAAGAGTAAAAACTATCCTCCGTAGTGCCAGACTGTCGGTGACATTTCTTGCATGAACCTTTCTTGCGGCAAATCCATTTAAAGCCTCTTTACATTCGACCATACGCATTTCCTTCGTACAAATAGGACACTTATAATGACTACTAAGTAAACCTTCATTTACACACCAGTCAGTTAATGCTTTTTTCCCTTTCATTCCAAATTGTACACAACTTCAGATTAATCACATCACATACAGCCATTTTCCAGTGTATTGAACAAAATAAGCAACATACTTTCTAACCGGCATCCAATGCAGAAATAAGCCCTTATAAATATTTCCCCATCGGTCAAATTTGCTACAATCACGCATTCAATCACATTATAATAGGGTTTCCATAACGTTCAACTACACAAGTTACCATAAATTAAACAACAATTTGTTGATAAATGAAACAATAACTTGGCAATAATCCAAGGGGCTCCCTAAAATATTCACTAACCAAATTTTGTAATCTTTATGAAAAAATAAAATACAAAAGGTACGAGAAAAATTGACCAAGCTAGTGAGTTTAAAAATTTGGCATATTTTACATAATTTTTAATTTCTCTTGAGGGCCCAATTAATTAATAAATAAGAATAATTAAAACTGATATTTTCCTCTTAAATGCTATTCAGTGATATTCTTTTGTGATTTACCAGTGTATATATATCATTTTTTAGTTTATAATTTTGTTACAATTGGTATGTCGAAAGAATTTCACTTAAGTAATTTATAAGTTTATAAATGCTATAGGTACATTATTAATATTCCCATGGAGTTTTATTACTTTAGAATCATAATCTAATTTAGAATCATAATCTAATATTCATAATCAATTTATTAAACTAGAAATATTTTTTATTTTTAATCTAATCGAATAATTTTACGAGTTGGCTATTTGCCAATACTGGGCTGCCTCTGTTTTCTAGAAACTAATTCTCTAAGTTTCTATAAAAAGATCTTCTTTTTGGAAAAATAATTTAAAAAAAAGGAATAATTTTTTAACGACAAAGCATAGAAATGCTCATCACTTAATCTGTTAATATCAGCAATGATTTTTAAATGGAGATTTTATTTTTAATTATGCACAGATGGAAATGTTTTACTTTTCAGTTTCTTCAACTTTAAAATGAAATACCTCCCTCAATTTTTGTCATATGAGAGTCACACATTTTTGTATTTCATTTTCCATGATGAGTATAAAATTTTCCTAATTATAAGAGTCGGGGGGGGGCATATGTCTCCCTGACTCTTTATAAAATGTTACATCTTGTAATTTGTACAAAGTAAATTTGTTTAAATTGTAAAATGCTAAAACATGAATATTTACATAATTTAAAATGCACTGGTGTGCAAAAATTAAGGACGAAGTCGAAAAATTAGCATATCAGTTGAACGAAGAGGCAGAGCGGACAGAAAGACCAATCAGAAGATTAAGTAAAGTGATGTACGGTAGCACATGTGCAGATATGCAGGTAGACGTAATGGGGGAGTGTCTGAGTAGTATAAAGCATGTGTCGGTGTAAGATCAGTATTTCTGGCAAAGAGATTGCACGCCGTATAGCAGTTAAAATCACATCGAGTTGCTGCTTCAGCGAGAAATGGCGAATAATCAATCTGTTAGACGACATCTGGATGCTTTTACCCGTGGTCGAATCATTGGGAAGTTGGAGGAAGGCCGCAGTGTGACAAGTGTGGCTGCAGAGTTCGGAATTGCTCACAGCATCGTTTCACGACTTTGGAGACAATCTCAAACTACAGGAACAGCTATCCGGGGGTTTAGTAGTGGTCGTCCACGAGGAACCACACCCGCAGATGACCGGTATATTGCCTTACAGGCCAGAAGAAACAGGCGGGGCAGACAGCGGGAGAAATCGCTAGACACACGACACAGGCGACTGGACGACCGATATTGCGTTTTACCGTGGCCAGAAGACTGCACGGTGGTGGTCTGTTTGCACGACGTCCTGTCCGGTGTGTACCTCTAACGCCTGCCCATCGGAGAAGGCGTTCTCTGTGGTGCCGGGAACACTGGAATTGGAGAGACAATGAATAGGGACGAGTATTCTTTACAGATTATCGCATACTCATCTGGAGAGAGCGGGGAAGCCGCAATTATCCCTCGAACATCATTGAAAGGGACAGGTATGGAGGTGGCGGTGTTCTCGTTTGGGGAGGCATCATGCTTGGTAGTCGTACAGACCTTCTCATCTTCGATGCAGGTTCAGTCAACGGGACCGTTATTGTAACGAGATTCTTCTTCCATATGTGCGTCTTTTAGAGCACTATGGGTCCGCAGTTCCTTTTCATGGACGACAATGCACCATGTCATCGCACAGTAGCTGCCGAACAGCTCTTAGAGAGTGAGGATATTGAATGTATGGATTGGCCGGCACAATCTCCGGATCTCAATCCGATCGAGCATGTATGGGATTTTCTAGGCAGACGATTGGCAGCTCGTACCTTACCACCAGTAATGATTCCGGAGCTTCGATTGGCGCTGCAAGACGAATGGGCAGCAATGCCTCAACAACTCGTTGACACCCTCATTCTCAGCATGGGCAGACGCTGTAAAACTTGCCTAGCAGTCAGGGAAGATCATATCCCCTATTAAAGACCGGATGTTTCTTGCTGAACACTCATCACGGGGATGTTTCGGCCTTCACTCGCATTGCGCTCCATGCTACTTTTTCAATAAAGCTTCTTTTTATACCTCTGATTTCTCTTTTAGTAAGTGTTGCTTACATTACTCATGTCCTTAGGTATTGGGGATCTTACGGTATTAAATGTGTTGATTTGGAAAGCTTTTGTACAAAGTTATATTGAAAAAACCGTGTCGTCCTTAATTTTTGCACACCAGTGTAGTTTTATAATTAGAAATGCATGTTTGCAACCAACAGTTGAAAAAATAAAGGCTAGACGAGGACGGACTCAGTGGATATTTGTGTCAATTAGTATTCTATGTTTATATTTTGGTATTTTGAAATTGATATCATTACTGATGCTGATTGTAGTGATTTTGTTAACTTTCTTATTGACAGATCCTTGGGGATTCTCAGAAAGAATATGAGAAGCTTGTTATTCATTTCAGTGTAAAAAATCAGCTTCGATACCGAGGAAATCTGGGTGAGTTAAGCAGTTAATATTTGTGCTGTTTTTGCATAGTTGTTAATGCAAATGCTTTCATTGTTCTTTTTTAATATATATAAGTATTTAAAATATTGTAAGAGTGAAACATTTTAGATTGTGCAAACTGTTGCTGAAGTTTTTTTTAATTATATAGCATAGTTTAATATCCACAGAGGTTACACAAGCCTAAGCTATATTACTTTGTAAATCATGGGGAACATTTTCACCATTTCATTTTATCGAATTCATTTTTCCCTATTTGTATGGCTGTTTAAGTCACCATATGCCATATATCACTAATTTGTGATGACCATGCATTTTCATGTGTAAGCTGAAACTGTTGAGCAGTTTTTAACGATTGATGTTTAGGAATCAGCTTATGTTCTATTAGTTAAAAATGATTTACAAGCAATTTTATCACAAAGTTTTATTACAGGTTGTATATTTATTTAAATTTTATTTAATCCTAGTATACATTAATCAGATTTCTCAATACTTCACTTTTTTAGGAATTCTCCAAAGTGGAAAGTCTCCAAAGCTTGAGGAAAGTCAGGATGAATGTCCTCCATTTTACTATAACACGATGTTATCTACCTTGTAGATAATATCATCTTCAGTTCTAGCCATAGTAATACTCATTTGAAATGATGAATTCTAATTTAAAATTAGCAGATTACACTGTCCTTTTTTGTCTAGGTACCTTTCACTATGCTAAAAATGAGATGAAAAGTATCTAGGACAACATATAAAAATTATGTTTAAACAAACAGAATAAAATTTAAACTACTAGAGCTTTCTTAGATGACCTATCTGCTTCTTCACCTGGATCTTGAATGAATGGCTCTAGCACATTCATCATCCTTTATCAGTTTCAGCAGAAGAAAGTTTACTAGAATGACAGCTTCACTAATGTGATACATTTTGAAACATTTGAAACAACATTTAGTATTTTTTAAAATTTCTAATTTATTTTGTGGTGACATTTTACATTTAAATGAATCATGTAGTACTGAACAGAAAATGCATGTATACTGAGTCATATAGAATGCCATTGCTGATGGTGTACTTTTATGAATTCTTTTTTGTGAAAGTGTTTTGGTTTTGAAGCTTTTTATTCAGATCACTAGTTTTTCATAATGGGGTTTGAAATTTTGCTTATGTTCATTTGAATATTTGTTGTGTGTCAAAAAGAACGTTTTTATCTCTGCTTTCAATCTCCTTTTTTTACAATATTAATTATTTTCAAGACCTTCCAATCTTTATCTAATTTGCATTTTTTAGTGATCTCTAGAAAAATATCTTGTAATAATTAGTAATAAATTTTGATGTAATTCTTAGTTTTTCATTCGAGGCTTTTACCAAAATTATTTGAGATTGAAATAAAGGAATGGATTGATATAAGGGTTTTATGATGATTGTAAACATGGTCACGTCAGGACTGACTGCTTTTGGAATTTGTGCATAAAATTCACTAAGAGAATACACACTTGATATACTTATAAGTGGAGCAAAATTTGGCAAGCTTGTGTTCAATATTATGGGATAGTGAAAACGTTTCTTTAGTGATATGAAGAATAACAAAACTACGTCATCTACGGAGAAATTTAACATCCAGAAAACAAGAGAATTTATGGCAGACAATGATGTTAAAATATGCAACTGGGATAAAACAGGTGATTTAGTCGTCATTGATAAAAAAATATTTCCAACGGAAAAGTCCAGGGCTATCTACAGGATACAAAATGCCTTGTTGGGGACAAAATGAACAAAAATATCAACAACAAAAAATGTAACTCATTTTGCTGAATTGCGCAGTATCCTGACATAAAATATTACCTTAGTAATATTAAACCCGATTTTAATTATGGTACACCAAAGCTTTTCATACAGATCAAAACTCGGAAAGAAAATTATCCAGCCAGAACTTTGGTGAACAGCGAATTTTTACCATCCAGTAAATTTGAACATAAGCTTGCCAAACTTTACTACACTTTCGTAAAAGATAATATATTGAATGTGCATCCTACTAAATCTGATACATAATTATTTATGTACATCTGATGCATAATTATTTATGTGCATCTGATACATAATTATTTACTGTTTTATTGATATATATATAGCTTGATTTGTTGGGTGATTTTAAATTTGACTATTTTCAGGTTTTCAGTTCAGGCTGAATTTTCTATTTAAAATCTTACCTTCAAGCTTATAAATGGATTGATTTATATTTCAAAGTAAATGGTAGTCATAATTATTATGAAGAAATTTATATTGTGTATGAAGAATTGAAGTATATATTTATACAGAATCTTACTGAAAAGTGATCATGTCAATTAGATTCTGAATTTTCAATTTTTTTTAAAAAATATTTTTTATTTCAGAAGCTTTTCAATTTACAGAAGCTTTGAATTATCAATTTTTATTTAATTTTTTAACTAGTTGTTAAAACTAGTGATTTCTTTTGTGTGTATCATGGATTAATGAGTTGTTGCAAATAACATGGCTGATTTTAACGATGTTTAGAAAAAGAATAAAATATCCATTTAATCCAACTAGACATTTTGCCACCTGGTGCAAGCTCTTTATAGCCTAAATTCTGCTGCCCATTATCTGTCCGAAATTCTAAAACTTTTGTTGCTCATTGCTTCACTAACTTATGAAAATTCTGCCACACTTGCTCTGGCATCCACCCTGACCTTATATAATTTCATATTTATTCTCAATATGTATATTATTAAAGAAATTAGCATTTTCTTTTATGCATTCTAAATATGTGCAATTCTTTAAAATGGCAGCAATCTTATAATAAATCTTGAATTCTAAAATGAGGAGGAAACTTAAGAAAATTATTCTTCAAAGGTATATTGTTAACATTAACAAATGAGATGAAGCAGAAAGTAGTGGGAACATTGATTTTTTTATTGAAGCAAACTTAGAAAAGATGCTAAAAGGAAGAAAATTGAGGTAAATTAGCTAAACTATGGAAAATTTTCAAAATAAAAAGACACATAAATATTTTGTTGTGTGTTGCAAAAAACATACATATTTTGTCGCTTTTCATGTATATAATATTGTTTTTATGTGTATAATGTGTTCCTAATATTGTTTTATTGTCAATATCATAAATTTATGCACATAATTATCTGTTTAAACTCTAAAATGTTCTTATTCTTAGATTATGATATGACTTGAGATGTAAATGAGCTATCATGAAAGCTCCAAGTATTCAGAGATGTAGTTGCAAGATACTTTTGTGGTTGGTAACTTTTCAAGAATTAAGCAAAGTTCACAACATTTATTACGATGATAATACACAATACAATACACTATATACATATTCCAGAGTGGGGCTACAGGATTTTAGCCCTTTCAATGCTATTCTGCTTTTAGGTAGTGCAAAGGATGTCTTTAAAGTAGTAGGATTTTGAAGATACGCTATACTACCACATCCTTTGATACTGACATCGGCGTAAACAATTAAAATAATATTTTCTGCATTAATTGCTGAACCACACAAAAAATATCTTCTAGGAATAGTAATGGTAACAAGTTCCTTGATTTCAGAATAATATGCCAAGAACTTATCTTATGCCAAGAACCTTCTTAGCTCATCAGATACCCCGGAATCCCAATCACAACCAGATTCCCATAATTCTTGAATCATAAACTTAGCTCTAATAACATATGCAAAAATTAGTCCGATAGGATTATAAATTTTGGCTATGGTTTGCAAAATGAGTTTTTTAGTTACTGTTTGTTCATCAAGCGATTCTCTGAATTGTGTTACATGTAAATTTATCTTGATCTGTATCCCACTTCGAGCCTAGAACTTTTGACGAGTTTTTATTTAAATTATTTTCCTCAATATCAATTCCACTTTTGACGCATAGCTCTCTTAGAGCTCTAGAATTGCTTTTCATTTTACGAAAATGCGTGTTTGCATCTTTCAGAATATTCACTGCAGTAGTTGACAGATAAAATGCTTTATCATCATTTTCAGCACCATGCAAAAGGTCGTCTACATACAAGAATTTATCTAACATTTCTATCTATTTCTATATATTTATCTACATACAAAAATTTATCTAACATCATCGCTATGGTCCTCTTTATATTTCTTTGTGTGATATTTAATAGTTGCCGGAAGTGTAAAAGGCAACTGACAAACCAAGAGGCAATCGCAAATTTTGTATATTTGAAATGGCAAATTTTCATCATTACTGAACCAAATAAATTTTAAATAATTTTTCAAATTTTTGTCAAGCAAAATAGAATGAAATGCACCTTTTATATCTGTCCCAAAAGCTGTCTTGTGCAACCTGAATTTTAAAACGATATGCAGTAAATAGCTATGCAAGTTGGGTCCTTGGATTAGACACTCGTTCAGAGATTTTGTATCTTTGTCTTTAGACGAACAGTCATAGACAATATGCACAGCAGTAGTTGTCTTGGCGAATTATTGGACTATGAGGGACAAAATAGCTATCCCTTTCAAGTTTTCAATTAACAGCATTAGAACATTTTTCAATTATTTCTGCCTCTAATTGTTCATTAATTAATTTCTTGTATTCACTAAATAACCATTCATTATGTCTCAATTTGTTTTCTAGCTTCAAAAACCTCTGTTTAGCAATTAGGAAATTATTTTTAAGCTCCAATTTTTTTTCGTTAAATAACTTAACAGTGTATTTTCCAATTTCTTATTAAACAAAAAATTCTTATTAAACAGATCAATAACCTCTAAATCTTCCCACGATAATGAGTCTCTGTCTCTCATAAAAAATTTCTCTAGATGCCAAAATGACTGAATGTCGAACAGAATTGCTGACTTAACGTCTACTTCTTTAACTGAAGCATAACAAGTATTAACATTTGAAATGTTTTGATTTGATGATTTTTGTCCACATATTGTTTCCCTGAATAATGTCGGAATTAAAAATAATTCATCTGATATTTTCCTTGTGAGGCCTGTTTGTACAGACCAGAAATAATTC